GTGTGAATGCAGAGCCGGTCAGTGTGAATGCAGAGCATGGACCGGTGTGTGTGCAGAGCTGCTCAGTGTGAATACAGAGCCTGGACCGGTGTGTGTGCAGAGCTGCTCAGTGTGAATACAGAGCCTGGACCGGTGTGTGTGCAGAGCCGGTCAGTGTGAATGCAGAGCCTGGACCGGTGTGTGTGCAGAGCTGCTAAGTGTGAATGCAGAGCCTGGACCGGTGTGTGTGCAGAGCTGCTCAGTGTGAATGCAGAGCCTGGACCGGTGTGTGTGCAGAGCTGCTCAGTGTGAATGCAGAGCCTGGACCGGTGTGTGTGCAGAGCTGCTCAGTGTGAATACAGAGCCTGGACCGGTGTGTGTGCAGAGCTGCTCAGTGTGAATGCAGAGCCTGGACCAGTGTGTGTGCAGAGCTGCTCAGTGTGAATACAGAGCCTGGACCGGTGTGTGTGCAGAGCTGCTCAGTGTGAATGCAGAGCCTGGACCGGTTTGTGTGCAGAGCTGCTCCATTGGAACGCAGAGAATATAAATAATCCCCAAGCAATTAGCACTTAAATGTTTTTAGAACAAAGATAGTTTCTATTTCTTTTAATATATCATTAATAAGAATGTGCAAATGTGCAAAACAGAAATACAAAGAAATGCCATGAAATGTACATGCATGCTAATAAACTGCTTTTACCATAAACCCAAAAAACACATATATCCATTGTACAGCGCTACGGAATCTGATGGTGCTCTATAAATAATAAAATAATAATAATAATACTGATCTAGAGCTTGGAGACCAAAAAAAAAAACAAGCCAAAACAAAATGGGATTATTTTGGTCTCCAAGCTCTAGGTCAGTATTATTATTATTATTATTATTTATAGAGCGCCATCAGATTCCGTAGCGCTGTACAATGGGTATATGTGTTATATGGGTTTTTGGTAAAAGCACTTTATTAGCATGCATGCAGTTCTGTACATTTCATGGCATTTCTTCGTATTTCTTATTAATGATATACTATAAGAAATAAAACTATCTTTGTAGTAAAACCCTTGGTGTGCTTGGGAATTATTATTTGGGCAGACTAGATGGGCCGAATGGTTCTTATCTGCCGTCACATTCTATGTTTCTATGTTTCTATGTTTCCATGACTGTAATGGACCTGGTGAGGGAGCCCCCTGTTTGCCTCACTACATTAACCCATGCCAGTTGAGCATTGATTATAATATTTTGTATACCTTTGGAACTCAGAGCCTGAGAAATGTACACAACTAGACACAGTTTATTGAATGCAGGAGGATGCACGGTTTTTATGAGTTTGCGGTCTTTGAAGGTAAATCAAAGCTTTTTAATAGCAATAGAATTTCCTGCCCAAATGTGAAGAGAACACGTATGTAGCAGGACGTGATGTCAGATGTAATGTCACAGAGAACCTTTAACCCCTTAAGGACCAAACTTCTGGAATAAAAGGGAATTATGACATGTCACACATGTCATGGGTCCTTAAGGGGGTTAAATAAAGTATAAATACTCAGGCACATGTTCTCATTGCTACCTGGATCTACAAACATGGAGGTAAGAACAGACTCAGATACTGGCACTACATTAGAACCAGGCTTTCTAGTAAGCGGGGGCAGGGAGGCACAATGTGGGCAGCTGGGAGGCTGCGGGGGGAGTAGATCTATGACCCAGGACCCAGCAGAGGTGGTAATGATAAATATATAGAGAGAGAAAGGTACCAGGCCTGATTGTATATTGTTAGAATATCTGGGTGTGCAGCAGATGATCACACAGAGTTATTTACTAAACTGTGTATTGTTAGAATCTAAGAATGAATTAAAAGTGAATTTCAACCTATACAACAAAATGGTTGAATTGGAAAACAAATATCCAATTTAACTTGTTTTCAGTTTGGCCTAAAATGTGGGATTCACAACAAGAAGACTTAAATTAGAGGGGCAAAGGTTTAAAAATGATTGCAGGAAGCATGTACTGTATGTATCATTACTAAATCTCCCAAACAGGACATGACACTGTATCTCCTGCTGGTTTTATCGCTGAATATCGTTTGTGAGACCACGTATGATCTGCCAAAAAAACATGGACAACGTGAGTAAAATGTTCCATTGACCCTTAGTCTCCTAATATGTTTAATTACACTGGTAAAGGCTCATGTTCCATAGTACTGGCTGGGTGGAAATGTCACTACAGGTAGTCCTCATTTTACGACACACCTGTTTAACAACGTCTCAGGCCCCAGGGAGAGAGCGCAGCTTAGCGGACAGGGGCACATGTATGAGTGTGGGATGGATGATGCATGATTGGCTATATTCTACATGTATGAGTGTGGGATGGATGATGCATGATTGGCTATATGCTACATGTATGAGTGTGGGATGGATGGTGCATGATTGGCTACATGCTACATGTGGGAGTGTGAGATGTGAGGAAGTGGGTGGTGACAGATCAGACTGACCTCAGTGCCACTTAGGAGCCGGGCCAGCAACAAGTTTCCCACCCACCCTCCCTTTGCTGCTTTGGGCCCAGGGGGTTGTCACAGCGAGGCGGGGGTGTGTCCTTGCCAAATAATGGATGGTTTGGTAGATTAGATGAAAAAGGGGGATAATGGCCGGGTCTCATCCTCCCTCTGTCTCTTATGGTGAACCTGGAGGAGGTACCAGGTTGGACGTGTCCCCACTGGGTTGTAAGTCGACCAGTGGGGAGCATTATGGTTGGGCCCCACCGAGTTGGTGGGGAGCCCTGAAAAGGAAGATGTTTTTATTATGCCGAGGGGGGAGGTGAGAGCCTTGGGGAAGTTAGATTGGCAAGGATGGTTTCTTTGGTTACTGTATGACTATATGCAAATTGTTTATGTTAATTTATGATATTTATTATTTTGTTATATGTTAAAGGAGTCATACAGTATTTGGTTGTGTTAATAAATGCTGTGGCCTGTTTTCTCCAAGAAGTTGTCGGTCATTATTTGAAGGGGTAAGTTATGGTTTTATGGGGGATGAAGGGAATGCTATCTAATGCCCACTACGTAAATACATGACTTACGACCAGCTCTCTTGCATGGAGATTCAAGGGATTCCTCACGTTAGAGATCTGGTCTATGTTTGGGAAATTTCCCCGAACATAGACAAACGCACCAGAGCAGGGAATCCCACTAATCTTTGTTCGAGGAAAATTCCCTGAACATAAATTTGAGGGATTCCCTGCTCTGCTGCTAACTTACCGAACAATTCTTTTTACAACCACGTCCTAAAAACAAAACCCGGTCGGTAACTGAGGAGTACCTGTATATGCCCTTTGCATGGGTTACTGAATCACAAACTGACTTTAGAGGTTAGTGGCAGGTAAGTGATATATTTCTAAATACAGGAGCTAAATAGAATCAAAAGGAGATAGTGGTGGAACAATAGCTAAAGTGTAACTTTTAATAAGTATAATTAAAAATAGTCCCCAAACAAAAGGGGGGTACTGATGAGTGACGCAATATATACTCACAATACATAAAACATTGAAGAAAGAAATCAGTGTCGATATGGGTGATAAATGTAGAAGAAAAGTGTAGTAAAACCAGTGTGGTTTCTCCTAGAGAGTTTTGTCCACTAGATATATAAGAGCTAGTTTGATATAAAATCAAACAAACTGTCTAAAAAAATAACTAATTGTAATTAATTAAATAACAATGTTTCCAATCTAACACTAGATGTCACTAGGAATCTATATATAGCCCTATGAGAAATTGCTAAAAATAAAATAGCCAAAATTTAGCAAAGGATGCATGTGCCGGTTGGTCCCTACAATAGTCTAAGAATTTATTGAGATAGCTAGTCCCTGCATATTTGTCAGCCGGCACATGTTCCCTCCATGTCACAAACCCAAACTAGTATGAGATAAAAAATGGATCGAAAAAGTACCCGATGCCCAAATTAGTATATAAGTGGTAGAGAAACCCCACTGGGGATTAACCAGTGAAAAGTACAATATCCCGAACCCGAAGGATAGAGGTGCCAGGAGTTATTAAATGCTACGGTTGAAGTTAAAGAGCCCCCTGGTTCGAGAGATATATTTTTTCATGTATAGTGAGTATATATTGCATCACTCATCAGTACACCCCTTTTTGTTTGGGGACTATTTTTAATTATTCTTATTAAAGGTTACATTTTGGCTATGGTTCCACCACTATCTCCTTTCTATCCATAGTTTTCCAAGGGCTATCCTAGCTCAGACTGCGACAGACACAAAATATTTCTAATTCTACTTGAGGTAAATTGAATCAGAATAAAGAATCAGCTCTTTAGAACATGTAACCTGGGGAGAATTCTACGTATAATAGAAACAACAGAGAGAAACTAAATATTTTAATATTCTGCCTTCTTCTGCCAGTCCACATGTGCCGTGACCCTTGCAACCCGCGCAACTGCTCTGATGTGTACGCCCAGGGTTTCCATTCAGATGGGGTGCATTTGATATTCCCCGAAGGGAGGTATACCCAGCCAGTCCATGCGTACTGTGACATGACATCTCCAGGCGCACCATGGACGGTAAGTGAGAGCAGTGATAGTCTGATAGCCTGTTCGACTCACCTGGGTGTCTGTCCGTGCACGCCCTTACTAGATATTATTAGCATTTAAACAACACCGATATATTCCGCAGCACTTTACAATTATAGTAAGGGGATATCTGACAACAAGGGATTGACAAACAGAGACAAGAGATGAAGACTTGCTCAAATGAGCTTACAGTCTTCCACAATTTATATTGTTAGGTATCTTGCCCGGGGACACTTACTGGTGATCTGGTCTGACTGGGATTCGAACGTGTAACACATTAGACAAAATTACAGAACTTCTGTTCTAGAGCATACATTCCTTTATATTGGATCCACCAGGAACACTTATGGGTAACACATCTTGGGTGGGTAAGCCATTCTTCTTGCTTTTATGATTACTTTTGCACCTCTCTATAAACTTCTCTGATTTTGTAATGCTAAAGAATATATTTTACAGAGTCAAGTCTTAAACAACAACAAAAAAAAACTCTTCTGGTTTGCCACCCAATTCCACCAATTTATTTGGTCACATTATTCCATTCTGAACCATCCAACCACAGAGACGGATGAAGATCTCACTGTCCCTAAGCAAGTTACCAGTTTGGTGTCCCCCATTTTTCACATAGAGATGATTAATGGACACAAGCAAATTCATGGTTCCAGGCCCGCTGTCCACCCATAAATTCAAATTTGTTGCTATCCTAGAGTGTTGTATCGACATAATACCCTCCTGACAACGAACCTTCAGTCACCAGACAAAGCTTTCAAAGTTCAGAGTGGGCCAACCATTGAAACTCTTAATTTAAACTCCCTTTCTGTGTATCGTCCTTCTTTATATATATATATAAAGATAGCAGGATTGAGGAAAAAGTAAATTTTTCTACTGCAAAATAGTACAGAATTATAAATAATTGACCATTGATTCTGTTCTTTAAGAAAGATCCCCATCTTCTGCCATTGTGTTGTAGATAAACAGAAAGTGATGGTGGAATTTTAATGTTTAAATATAAAAATTGAAATCAGTTTATACAATAGTGCACATATTTAATGTGCGTGTGTATGTATAACATTTTATCACTCTGTGCTCATAAGAGGTTGGGGCTATCTGTAAATCATTCATCCCATCCCTGACTGTGTGACTATCTCCCAAAATGATAATGTAACGTCTGCCTTGAGTGAATGGAGAAACACAGGATAATATACAGAACAGTCTGGTGTTAAAGCGTGGTGGAGCCAGGGCCAGATTAAGAGCCCAGTGGGCCTGGTGCTGACAATTATGACGGGCCTAATTACAGAGTCATATCGACCAAAAACAGTAAAACACTCCAAAGCATCATGTATCTGATGGAGATGGTGCTGGAGAGAAAGAAAACAGCAGCTATAAGAAAACTCATACCCTAGGCTAATCTTTCTCTAATTTATGTTTTCATCTTTCAAGTAAATCCATAACCCCTAACAGCAGTGTCCAGTCAGGCAGGAAGTCAATGGGCACGGTAAAAGGGTGTGCCACAAATCACGTAACCTGCCAAAAGGGGCGAACATGCCCAAAAAGAGGACATGTCTGCTCAAAGAATTAGAAGGCCAGCCTGGCATGAATGCATGTCAGGCTGCCTGCCAATCATGCAGCTGGCCAACTAAGGGCATACTATGCAGACAGCACCCTGAGCTTGGCATAAATGCATCTAATGATGCGCTCACTCAACGCTTTCTAAGGACTGTCCCCTAGCACTCGCTGGTCCACTTGTCTCCTTACCTTCTTACTAGCAAGCAGAAGCTCCTGGTATATGGTCTGGGACAGAGAAAAGCTGTATGTAGTGAGTGTAGAAGAAAGGGAACATGCCACAGTGTTAGAGAGACCAAAGTCAGCATTACCTTAAAGGATCACTATAGGGTCAGGAACACAAACATGAATTCATAACCCTATAGTGTTAACACCACCATCTAGCTCCCCTGGGCCCCTCATGCCTCCATAAATATAGCAAAATCCTACTATATTCAAGCCTGAAGCTGTAACTCTGCATGCTGTTAGACTCATAAAAACAAGCAGTCTGCTGACATCATTAGAAGTGGTGGCCTGATCCAATCACAGTGCTTCCCCATAGGATTGGCTGAGACTGACAAAGAGGCAGATCAGGGTCAGAGCCAGCATGATTCAAACACGGCCCTGGCCAAAGAGGCAGATCAGGGTCAGAGCCAGCATGATTCAAACAC